GAACTTTCGCAAACGTTCTGCGGAAGTTCCGGTTAATTGTCTGAGTAGACGTAGATTAAAATTCAGCAAAGTGTGCAAACCTCTTTCAAACATCACACGCAGTGCATCAGCTGTGATTGCATAAAGCAGGTACTGATCGAGGAAAGGGAGTAAATCGACCAGCTGAAAAATAATATAAAACTTTTAAATTGCGACGTGTTACGCAAAAATGAACTTACCTCGCTAGTCTTCAAAGCTCTCAAAAAGTTGGGATTGACGATACTAAGCAGAGCCCATTCAATCACTGTCTCACTAGCACGAAGGCGAAATCGTGGCATTTCTTCGTTGTTTTGGTAGTTTACAGCTACACCAAAATATGACGACTGGAGCTCTAGTAGTTCTCTGAAAAATTGGTAACCAAAATTTTATAACAAGCAAACACAACTCATGAACGAATTCACCTAACAAATTTGATCTCAACACCTTCATCAGATATAAGGATGCAGTTTCTAGGTGCGATAAAATCTTCCAATGAATCAATGGGTTCGCCGAGCTGGTAAAATCTTTCGTGCCTGATACACTGTACACCTAACATATGACAGACTTTTTCCATCATAGCTTTGGTAGTCAAGCCTGAATGACCAAAAACTGCAGATGCACAAAAAAGCAGGTTGATGCGATTACTTAAAAACGTACCACAATTCATGAAGCGATTCTCATTATACACAAGATAATCGCGGAATACTAGCTTACATATGGCACTAGAAACTTCTCTGGCAAGCTAAAATTATGAACTTATTTCCTAAAGGTAACGATGCTGACAGATTACATCTTCAATCCAAAGCTCATTATGTGACCGCGTGTAAGATTCCACATTTGGGAAACGAGCTTTTACGATACATGAAGGACTTTCGACGATACATTTCCCACCTACGTCAAACACCTGGAATATCGTATAGCGCAAACAAAATTAATGTTCAGAGTATCCTGCAAATGACAGACCTTGAAGTCTAACTCGATCCTTTCCAGATACGATAGCTCACGTTCTTCATTTAGTTTCGC